GGGAGGGAAAGGTGACCCCCCCCCACCCTCACAGCCTGCCCCCTTCCCCTGTCGCTTCCCTACCTTGGCTGCTGCAGTCTGCGCCGCCACCATTGCTACTGTCCATGGCAGCCTGCACCATGTCGGCCTCCGCAGTCTCCATCCATCACCACGCACTGCAGTGGCCTCCACAGCCACAGCCTGCCATAAGGAACACTGGCTGCCCTTTGCAAAGGTGGCGGCTGCAGCTTCTTTTAGGGCAGGGAAGCTGCAGCCACCATCTTTGCAAAGGGCAATCAATACAGCAGGCAGTGATGGATAGCGGCAGCAGCAGGCAGCAATGGGTGATGGTGGTGTCAGGCAGTGGCGGATGGTAGCAATGTCTAAGGGGGGAGGGAGGGGAAGGGGATGCGGGATAGTCCATGTAGATGGGTGGCTGTGTGATTGGGTGGCTGCCTATTCTCCGGCCGATCAATTGATCGGCAGGTCCATAGGCAGAATAGGAAGACTAGCCTCCCCTGTCTTCATGTGGAGGACGGATAAAAATGGACAGATTTTTAAACCCGTCATATTCGGCGGGGTCTCTGGAACTCACAAATACGAAGAGACAAATATTTAACAAATCAGCAATTTTTAAACAAATACAGTATTGCAATTCATTTTTTATTTATCCCCATATCTAGTTACATCTAGTAGTTAGTGGTTAGCCCCAGCTACAGTAGACCCACTGAATGAGTGAAGCTTGTTAAATCAAAAATTTTATTAGTCCCATTGGATTCATAGAAATTAAGTCAACGCGTAAATTGCATCAATTCAGTGGACTTACTCCCACTGAAACTTACAACTGGGTGTATTCCTATGTCCCCCTAAATTGGGGGTGGCCAACTCTGACCCTCCAGATGTTCTTGGACTGCAGCTTTGAACTCTCAATGCCCCATTGCTGGTTATGCTAGCTAATAATGCTGGGAGTCATGTGCCAAAAATATATGGAGAATCTCAGTTGCCCACTCTTGCCCTGAATGAAAGCTTCATAAATATTGCCTGAAAGCCTCTGTGTGGTTAAAAGAGCACAGTTTAAGTCTTGCTATCTGGCATTACTTTTTCAGCCTTTTATGTCTTTTTCTGCCTGTTGACTCAACTTTCTGTTCTCCTTCCTCCCCCTCCCCCCCCACTTTATTTGCTAGCTTGTTTTTGGTCTACTCTTGCTTTTTCTTTCAGCCATCTTTGCTGCAAATACATAACATGTAAACGTTATTACAGACCTACCGTTGCATATGTATGCTTGGACAGATGGCTATGTAAGGGCAGGGAGGGTTGTTGACCCTCTTGAAATTTTGGAGTGAGCATGCCCTATGCATTTATTTGCATGTTCCAGTACCTAATATCTTGTTAATTAATTTTACGTGTTGTATTTTGTTACAAGCTTAGAAGACTAATTCCTGTTAGCATAGCGAGCACTGTGACAATGGATAGGCACACTGTTACAATCTCTAAGAATAGCTGCTGCTCAGGCACTCTCTGTTTGTGTAATAGTGTAGGTTGTATCCACTGTCCACTATTAATGTGGACACATTTTTAAAAGGAAAAAAACAGCCTGTTAAGTTTACTCCTGATTTTATAGCAATATCCCAACATTTCAGAAATGTTTTCCCACCCCCACCCTACTGGTGTCTCCTCTTTGACATGTTAAATCTGTTTCAGTCCAGATTAATTGCAGTGAACCTGGTAGTCAATACCACTATTCACTTGCATGGGAATTACCTGCTTTCTCTGGTACAGTTATGCAGTTAGATACTGTATCATTTACCTCCACCTCTCTGCTGCTGGTTCTTCAGAAATGATTGTCTGCGCAGAACACATACTTCTCACTCATAATTAGTTCTCTTTTTTCTGTTCATTTTCTCTTGTGTAACCATGCCCAGACTTAATATGAAAATTAACTAAAATTTTCACTTATAGATGGCAACTCTATTAGAGCTTCAAAAATGTTATTTCCAGATTACTGCTTTGTATTCATGCTCAGATTTCATACATAGAGTGTCTCGCTGCTCCCACACTTGCTGGATGTGAAGAATTTGTATGGGGACAATGTTAGTGCAAATTTCTAAGACATCTTTATGGGTTATAGTTACAAGGTGGATTTAACTCCTGCAGTCTCTCACGCAGCAGGATCAGACTCAAGAACTCTCTTTGAAGAATGCAGGTACAGTGCTGCCTCGCTTAACAGGCGCTCTGTTTAGCGACGAAACCGCATAGCGATTAACTTCTTGCAATCGCAAAACCGATCGCATTGCGATGTTTCGTATGCGGTTTTATCGCTTTGCGATGATCGTTCCCTGTTTCGCTTACCGATCATCGCAAAGCAATGATTTTTAAACAGCTGATCAGCTGTTCCAAAATGGACGCCAGGTAAAAAAAATGTCTGCCCACTGTGTTTTCGCGCCTATTCCTCGCATAAGAGGCAGCGAGAATGGCCACAGTATGGAGGATCTTCGCTTTAAGGTCAGTTTTTTTGCCCATAGGAACACATTAAACAGGTTTTAATGTGTTTCTATAGGCTTTTTTAAATCGCATAGCGACAAAATCGCTGAGCAGCGATTTTTGCTGCACGGATTAATGTCGCTATGCGAGGCACCACTGTACTATTTTCAGCTTGCTGCTGTTACTGATTTCACAGTTGTTTTTCCTCCTGTGATGATCTTGCTAGTGTTATTACTGCAAGAAACTGTTAATACAGATGACATCTAGCATACCAGTATGCCACTCAGCTGTTAAAAAGCACTAGCCTCTCACCATCAAAAGGACAGTTGTATAGCAAAGCACAGTAGAAAGGAAACAATAGACGTTTTAGAGAACCTGCAAGCAAAGTTTCAGTGAGATGCCTATCATAGAAAAACAAGAAACTGATGTACGTATTCAATAATGTCTATTCTTGGCTGACTGACTTAGTGAGTGAAAGCACTTGACTGTGGAGACAGAGGTCCCCCCCCCCCACTCTGCCTCTTGGGAGAAGAGCCAGCTTGTGCAGCCTGGGACACAAGCTGCATGATCCCACAGTGCCACCAGGAGAGACTGGTAAACCATTTCTTAATACTTACACATAGAAAAACCTGTGAAGGTTGGCGTAAGTCAGAATTGACTTGATGGCACACTATGATAAGGCCTATTGCTTCTATAATTTTTTTTCTTCATGTGGCTACTAGGACCATATACTGGTATGATGATGCTTATGCAAACTGTTATTTGAATGTTCATCTTTTGAAAAACATTCACAAGAGCTATTTGTATTGGCAAACCTTTTTACTTTTTAAAATAGAAAGCTCCTATTCCTGTTGACTGTTGAGACCCTTACTTTTGAAAACACTATGTAACATGGCTTGAAGGAATTTCTTTTCAGAACAGGAATGTTAAAATTATTGTATTTTTTAGATTTGGTTTTCCTATGCATTTCACTGGAGTGATGTTAATAAAGCTAAACAAGTCAGTTCTGGACGGGATATAACGGTTTTGAAAAGGACCATCTGTGATTCAATTTGTTCTCATCTGATATTTTTTGAAGTGTATCATCTGCTCTTGCTTGCTAGTCCTCATTTACGAAGTCAAGTTGCTGTAGGAAGTATGTGCAAATATTGTAGAACATTACTGTGAAAATATTTAATATCTGAGTTATTCTGTGTAGATTAATGCATTGACAAATGTCATCATATATTCCTTAAGTAAGATTCTCTGCATTGTCACAGAATAGTATTCAGTGAAAACTGCAGAAGGATCAAGATGAAAGTTAAATAATTTCCCCACTGTTCAGCAAATAACCATTTTCCAGATAATATTCAGCCATTTAATTATGTGACCTAATTTGTTGTGTTCTGTTTGATGTAACCCCCCATCCAGAGACTTTATCTGTATTTGACTGCATAAAATTACTTAGCAATGTGGCCTTGGAATGATGAGAAACCTATGGTTGTACTGGATGTAAATGTTTATATATTGTACAGCACCTTTATATATACTTCTGAGGTTCTAACTAGAAAGAGACCTGTAAATTGCTCATTATTTTTTATATAGATACATTAAAAAGAGACTCTAGTTCATGGCCTCTGTATTACTGTGCTTTAAATACCTTCAGCAAAACACCAAATCCTGTTTTGTATATGAAAATGGTTCTGGAGCTAAAGAATTAATGGAAGGAAGATTTGTGAATCATAGCACACTTGTAGAACCATGCCATTAGGTAAGTTCTGTATCAGTTTTATATCTCACACTGCCTGCTTACAGACATATCTTGCAACTCAAGCCTTGTTATGCTGAAACACCATCTATTGCCATGTGTCCGGCACATAGCTATGCATGCTTCCCACATTGAGCAGGGTGATCTGAAAACTGCTTTAGTGTTGTAGTTAATAGTGATACATGATACATGCTGTTTTAGGCAGAGCTTTGGTGTCACTTTGCTCACTTATTTAGCACAATGTACAGTTCTACTTTGCCATGAGTCCTAATGTGTACAGAAGTACATATCATACAAAAAGAGCACAACAAAACATTATAGTTGGGCTGTTTTATTCATCCATATTACTAAAAACATTTAGTTGGCTTTTAAATACTGTCTCTGAGTTTAACAGTTTACAATGCTGCATGTTCTTCACATTTCTTTACACACACACATACACACACTGTATATACTGTATGTATATCAAAAAGAAGTCTAGTGTGACAGAAGACCTTGAACTGCTGTATCCATACTTACAGTAGCAAATAAACATTCACTGTCATTTGACAATCTCACTTAGACACAAAAGTATATTACATTTATTTATTTAGTAGTCTGCCTGTAAATTTAGTGACTGTAAAAACAGAAAATGCTCTAGGTTCTAAACATATATATTTGATAACACAAACTGTTTTCGTACATGGTACTGCAGCTGCAGGAAAATTTCATTTGTGAAGCATCACATAGTCCAAATACCTGCATTTTATCTGAAGAACTGTGTGCAAAGTACTTTATCAACAGCTCCCCCCAGTTCTGTGGGGCTAAATGCTAGCAATGGGTGGTGTAATGAATCCCAGCCAAAATTTGGTTTTCTGATTACTTTTCTAATGGTGTAAGCATCTGTTCTCTCTATAGTAGCATATAAACATTGCTGTAGTTTCCCGTGGAGAGATTGCTTTGCTTGTTCAGTTCTATGTGAGTTCACATGAGTTATCTGGGGAATGCTATTTTTTAACTGTCCTCTCTCTCCTGGTTTGTGGCAGGCCTACTGGAAGCCACCTTGTGGTACTGTTTATGTGTTACTAAGCAGCTGAAACCTGAACTGCTTAAATGCCTTAAGAATACAGTATATCCTTAACTTGTCGGGGTAGATTTCACACACAAACACACACATCAGTGTCAATAGGCAAGGCCCACAGCAGCATTTGCCTCTAAGCTTAAGGCAATTCAGAGAAAAAAAATATTGAATCATTTAAACTGATGCAGGTCAACAGCAACCCAGAAAGAAGCATCTGTCTAAACTCGGCACTGAAGTATCAAGTAGCTCAGCGACCTCATTAAAAGAACATTCTACTTAAATTGCTCATAGCGTCCATTTATTTTCTCTTACAGCTATGGATGACTATAATAAATTGGAATAATTTTTTTTCACCCAACACTTTTCAGTTATCGCACAAAAGTTCACACAGCTGTGCTTCATAGGAGCTGTGCCCAATTAAAAGATTTTATTTTAATAAGCTCATTTACTAAGATTTATTTAACAATTTCTGAAGCCATGGGCTTATTGAAAATAAAGTTATTCTGAAGTCTTGAAATAATATTTGAAGTACAGAGATCTGTACTGATGGGAGGACTGGCACAACTAGAAAAGCAGTGCACCTCCAACTGCCAAGCTTGTGTAGCACTGCTGGTAATTCTTCTGTCCTTGACTGGAGCTTTAGTTTGCCTCTTCTTTGTCATGGTTTGATTTTCCACAACTGAAAAATTTAAGTAGGCATAATTACCATCAAATTGACAAAGCTGAGTACATTGCATCCATTTTTAGGAATACCTGAACATCTTAAAAGGTTTAAAATCCAGTGTTGTGCAGTGGATAATGATGGACTAGAACTCCTGGACATGGAACCTCACTGGGTGGCCGCAGTAGTAAAATCACTTAATTATCTCATACATCTTGAGAATACTACAGTGGTGCCTTGACTTACGACCATAATCCATTCCAGAAGATGGACATTAACTCGAAATGGTTGTAAGTCAAAGCAACATTTCCCATAGGAATGCATTGAAATGCAATTAATCCGTTCTGGCTGAAGAATTTTTTTCAAAAAAAAAAATCACTGCAAGACTCATTGGAAACACAATTAATCCTTGCCGGCCGAAGGGGGGGGGAGCTGCAAGATCCATTGGAAATGCACAGAGAACACAAGGGGCAGGTCTGAAATGCATAGAAAACAAAGGAAAAATAAGGGAAGCATGCAGGACCCATTGGAAATGGGGGGGGCAAAAAGCAACCAAAACCCCCCAAGACCCATCAGAAATGGGGGGGAAAGCCAAAAAACAAAACCCCCAAGACCCATCGGAAATGGAGGGG